CCCGCCCAGGGTGTAGGCTCGGGGCGTGACACCATGTGGCATAAATAATTTTCCAAAATTAAATATATTTTCTGTTAAAAATAATAACACAAATGAACTCTTTTTATATAGGTAATGGCATAGATAAACCTATTTTTTAACGAATGATCGATATAAATAATTTATTCATAATAATTCGATGACATGTTACAAAAAAAATCCTTTTAATAAAAGATGTGAGCAGGTAGTGTGACCAATGTTATGAATGGATCCGACTCAATAATTTTTTCGAATAACATTGGAATAAAGCTAACCAGGCCAAGGACGTTCAAGAATAACTCTAGAAAGTTATTAGATTCTCTTTGAAGACACTATTACAAAATAAGGAGTTAATTATGAATAAAATTTGACAATTAAATAAAAAAAATTGTATATTAATTTCATTTAGTTATAAATTAGTAATAGATTATTGGAAAAAAGTTAATTAGCTAAAATTATTTAGACTTTAGTGATGAATTAATTAGAAATTACCGATAATTTTTTTAAGTAGAAAGTGAGAGATTCTTTTAAGGTGAATAATGGACCGATGGTATAAGTTCCCATTTTCCTTTTTCTTTTTGAAATTCTAATTAAGTGCTAGAATTATTCTGAAGTGATAAAAAGAATAAATCAATACAAGGTCATGCAATAAATGAAAGTCCTTTTCTAAGGCCATATTGATATATTGTTGTGGCACATAAACCAATTAAGTTGAAAAAATTTCAATTTTTTTTTTAACGATGTTGGGACTTGTTAAAATTAGGGTGCATAGAGGCATCAATCTACCACTCAAGGATACATTTCATAGTGATCCTTATGTTGTTGTTACCATGGGTGATCAGGTACATGTTATAATATCTTCTTCTTTGATAATATTTTTGCATATTTCATGAGTTTGATCATATTGAATGGTCAAATATATCGTTTTTTAGAGGCATATCTAGGATAGGTTTTTCGATAATATAGTTGATCGAGCTTCTATATTTTTATATGAAAAATATTACATTCATTAATTACGACTCTTGATCATCCATGACTTTAATTTTTAGAAAATCTCGCTTTTATATCTTAGGATTTATTACAAAACCAACAATTTGGTCTTAGACTATGTGTTTTTATGTTTAATAAAGTTTCTAAAAAGCTCATGTATATACTCTCTTTATCTAATTAATTGTGTTGCTCTTTCTTTTTAGTCCGTTCAAATGTAATATTTTTTTATATTAGTAATCAGAAACACTCATCTTACCTTGAAGAAATAATTTATAAATATACAAATATTTATTACCATAAGTTAATTCATTTTTTGTAATATTCCATTTTCTTGTCAAATTTTACTATATTATAAGAGGAAGTTTCAAGTGCTCAAGTAGGCAACTGGTTAATATGCTTGCTTGAGCACTTTGAGGGTATTTGTGTAATTTTATTGGTGATTTTTCCGTTTTAATTTTGTTATCTTATTTTTATTTTTTTTATATTTAAAAATTACGTAAAAAAATTATAAATTATGATAATTGATAACTTGAAATATTTTTTAAAAAATATAAAAAGATCGACTAATTTTTGAAATTAATCTATCGGTGTCAACATAAAATAGGACAAAAGAAGTAACATGTATTATTTAATTTGGAAACTAAGTAAAAAGTATTGAAAATTTCAATAATTAACAATATTTGATTCACTCTTGAAATTTTATATGTCATATATATATTAGGACAAGGGGATCGGAATAACATATATTATTTAAAAATTAGGTAAAAAGTACTATAAATCACAATAATTAACAACTTAGAATATTTAAAAATCATATTAAAATTTAATTGACTCTCTAAATTCTATCTATATCACATAAATTAAGACAAAAAAAAAAAAACAGATATTGGACCCTTGCTAGCACAAACACATATATCTAGTATATTCACAAAAAATTGGAATGAAGTACATAAATCATATATCTCGAAAAACTATCTTGTTGTAAATCCAAAATTCATAAACTTAATTAAAATCATGAATATGTCTTTTTGTGTTTCATTATGTCAAAGTTTAAATAATATCTGTTATTTGTATTGATGTTCTGCAATTGTCTTATAGAAAGTGAAGACTAGTTGTAAGAAGAACAACTGCAACCCTGTCTGGGATGATGAATTGACCCTTGCACTGAAAAATCCAAATGTTCAAATTGTTTTGGTGAGTATTCTCTCTTCATATTATGCTTCAATGAAACTAATTAAGCTCAATTGTAGCTAAATATTTTTAGGTTAATAGATAGAAAATCTATTATCACTAAATGTCTTTGGCATAATACATAAACATGATCCTTAACTTGGCTTCAGCGGATAACTATGCCTTCATACTTTGAGTGTGCAGAAGTAAGCAGTTAAACTTGTATAAAATTGAACAAGTAGACTCACGTGTCCTACATGGCATAATATACGTAGGACACAAAATCTCCATGTAGGGTGTCATGTAGGACGGATATGCCCATTTGTTCAATTTTATAAAAGTTTAAGTGTCTATTTGTGTACATCCAAAGTTGAAGGTCGTAGTTTTCATCTGATGCCAAGTCAAGGATCATGTTTATGTATTATGTCAATGTCTTTTTTGTTGTAGTGAAGGTAAAAACTCAATTAGTCAACCAACTGAGCTACTAATATTTCTCGATATATATAATTTTAATTTGATGATTATGATATTTTCAGACTGTGTATGACAAGGATACATTTAGTAAAGATGACAAAATAGGTGAAGCAAAGATAGACATCAAACCATATCTTAAAGCATTGGAAATGAGCTATCATCAAGACCTTCCAAATGGTGTCAAAGTTCAGCCAAATAAAGACAATTGCTTAGCTAAGGAAAGTTGCATCATATGGGAAAATGGCAAATTGATCCAAGACATGACACTTATGTTGCAAAATGTGGAGTGTGGTGAAGTAAAATTGCAAATTGAGGTGATTCCTAAAATGTTATCTGAGGATGCATTTTATGTTGCATAAGCTATAATTTTATTAGTAAATTTTATAATATGTATAAGTGTTATGGGATGAGCCTTGTATTAGGTCATTCTAATTGATAAATAATGTGCAAACACTAGTTGGTATTTGCCACATGCTTTATGTAATATAAGGGCCATACTATTTTTACTATTTCTGTTGTAATAAATTAAAATCATTGTGTTTGATGATCCAATCAACTAATGGTATAATGGTTGAAGAGAAAATAATAATACTCAGTTAGACATTCAAAAGAAGTGTATTAAATCAAGAATAAACATAACACGCTTTTATTATAAACGTATTATTCTAACTCTATTTACGGAAGGCCAAGACTACAAAATAGACATTACAATATAAAGAGCTTTACTTGAACACAAAGATCTTTTAAAAAATATTACATGAAATATTTTATGATAATGGATATTTAAGAAACGATTCATGAATTTTTTAATAGTTTTTTTAAAAAGATATCTCTGTATTTTAATTTTCTTTTCACCCTTATTTAAGGTCCATTAATATAAAATGGCTCCTACTATATATGTAAGTATATCACATATACAAAATAGGGAAAAAGGACAAATATACCCACAAACTATCGTAAATGGTATGCAGATATCCTCCGTTATATTTTTTGGACATTGGTGTCCTTACGAGAAAATGATCAAAATAGTCCTTAATATATAGGGGCTGTTTTCTTTTGGTCCTTAATATATTTGACATGATTGATATAGTCCTTAATGTATTATAAAAGGGGCTCAAGTTGATCTTTTGCCCTAAAATTAACAAATTCATCAAAATTTTCTGTTCAGTTTGATCCTGGGTCCCACTAAAAATAAATCCAAAATCTTTTTCCATTCTTCTTCATCCTCTATGTTTTCCTTCATAAGCTCTGGTTCAAAGAGCTTGTGATTCATTCTTTTTTTTGCCTCAGCCATCGAAAGAAACTTTCTTCTTCTCTGTGAACAGCAAATGTCAAAAAGAAAGGTATTTTTCTCTTCTTAGTTCATCGGTTAAGTCCTAATTTTCAAAACCTTCTCCAATTTAAAGGTGATGAGTGAACTCTAGTAGAAGCAATTCTTGAAGCTTTTAGTGTCATTGTTAAGAAAAATCGATAATATTTGAAGATAAATACAATAGCTCTAATCAAAGCCGACGAAATTGATCCACGATCAATGTTTGTGATTCTGAAATTCATAAAGAAATTGAGTGAGTATTTGAAATCGACAAGTTACACCTTTTATCGTAATACATTAAGGACTATATGGATCATATCAAATATATTAAGGACCAAAATAAAGTAACCTCAATACGTTAAGGATTATTTTGATCATTTTCTCGTGCTCTTGCCGTCCAAAAACTAGAGCATATATACCTTTTATACTAACGGACATGCACGTGTCATAATCTTATCCATCGATCCAACATTTATTAAATATCGGATCGACGGATAAAATTATGTCACGTGTCCCTAATTAGTCTTCCGTTAGAGTGAAGGACATATATGCTCTAGTTCTTTGACGGTAGGGACACCTATGTCCCAAAAGTATGACAAAGGGTATATGCATACCATTTACGATAGTTCTAGAATATATTTGTCATTTTACCCTATAAAATATAATGTGATAAAAGAATAGTGCCTTACTCCACTGGAAATTTCTCTTCAAGTCCATGTGACATGTTGCTATATAATAATGTATATAACTGACATTGTATATAAAATATGGTTGAGAATATTTACTTTCTAGAAAGAAAGTAAAGAACACAATTCCCAAAAACCAATCTTTCATTTCTTTTAGAAAAAGATCATTTATTCGAGGGATGTGGGCATGTGGCTAGTAGATAAGACTCTTCCATTTTTCATCAGAGATGAGTAAATATTAAGACCTAGATAAGTAAATAAGGGAAGTCCTAATTAAAAGAAGCATTTTCTTTTTATTAATGGGTCGTACGCGATATGAATTCAGATTAATTGAAGTTCTAATATGAATAATATATCTAATGTAATCTCGTAAGTAAAGTCAAGAGATATGGTGTATTCATAGATCTTTCTCTTACCTAACCTTGTGAAAATAGAGATTATTTCTATTAAGCCATCAACTCGACCAAAATATATCAAAAACAAATATAGAAAAAAAATACAAGAGCAATATTAAAAATACAAACTGTTTTTTCAATCCACAACAAAATATATTAGAAATTACATATTCACTCATTTTGCCTTATTTTATTTTTATTCTTGTTACATGCAGTAGACATTTCAAAGCACACTCATTAATAACAACAAACGTACGTTATTACAAGACTTGAGACAACATCTTAGTTCCAAGCATTCACCATATATTGTTCGTACTCTTTAAAAATATTGGCACACATGTGACAGTATAGCATCTGTCAATATATTTTCAAAGAATCCGAGCAATATATATATATATATATATATATATAGTCGTAGGTATATATCAATTGAGATGGTGAGTCTCAATATCTTTTGTGATATTGAGGCATAATTCCATTAAAGTGTGTGGATCGGGCACATTACAATTCCTCTTTTCATATTCCAAGATCCAAGTAACTATATTATCTTCACCTTTTGTTTCAACATGAACAGTGAGGTAAAATGAATTATAATCCTCCAATATATCTCCTCCAGTCACTTTGAATTTAACCAACTTCTTTTCTTCATCTATTTCTTCAACTACATTCTTTGCCACCTTCTCTTTCCCATCTACAAACAAAGATATATAGTAAGAATTTAATACTACTAATTCCTTTTATCAAATGAGAGTATTTGAATTGAATTTGAACGAGTTAAAATGATTCGAATTAATAAATGCATAGAAGCATAACTCATTGAAAATTTGATTAGGTTAACGGATCGAACATGTCAATTTAAGCTAAATAATGTGTCACAATTTAATGTCTTAAAATCTCTTTTTATTTGTTTATTATTTTAATTGCCTAATCAAACTAACCAAAGTTTTGTCCATTTAATTATCATGTCTATAGCTAACCAACTGTGGCAATCCATTATGTCCAATTCAAAATCACTTTTTATTTCTTTATTATTTAGTTACCTAATCAAAACAAACAAAGTTTTACCCTTCATTTAATTATCAGGTCTATATCTAACCAACAGATCCAAAAAATTATTTATTTTTATATGTGATTATAAATTTTGACTTGTCTAAGCTGTCATAAGATTAGATTATGACCAATTGTTTAATCAAGACAAAACATGTACTGAGTATTGGAACAATTAACTTAGATATAAAATGTTTACTTCCCTATCTCAATAATTGAGTAGTATATTTTTAGAAACAAATTAACTTTCAATTTTTTAGTTTATCATTATTGGGATATTTTATATCCACACAAATGTCTAAAACTTATTGTAAATCACAACTTTAAAAACCTATCTTTTTCTTATTCTTTCTCTAAATTTTAAATCCAATCAAACGATTTCACATAAATTGGAACAAAAAAGATAATAGTAAGCTTAAAATGCATATTATGGATTTCGAACTCAAAACTTCATGAAAAGTAGGAAACATTTTCTCTTTAATGGACCATACGCATCACAAAGCTAGATTAATTGAGTCAGTAAGTATCAAACATCGAATAACAAGAAAGAGTAGGACGTAGGCTTACCATGGGTGAAGTTCCAAACGATAACAGAACCAACAGTGCCCCATTCACCTTCATGAATATCGACATTTTGTATATAACCAGGTGACATACTAGAAATATGATGTGGTCTATACCTAAATATTTCATGAAACACATCCCCATCAGACTTGATATTTATCTCAGAAACTAACTTTCCTGTTAGGTGATGAGTCTCAATATCTTTTGTAACATCAAGACAAAATTTCATTAGTGTGTGAGGATCTGGAATATCTTGATTCAACTTCTCATATTCCAAAATCCAAGTAACTAAATTGTCTTCACCCTTTGTTTCAACATGAACAGTGATGTAAAATGATTTGTAATAGTCCAATATATCTCCTCCAATCACCTTGAATTTAACAAGCTTCTTTTCTTCATCTATTTCTTGAATTATTTCCTTCGCAACCTTTTCCTTCCCATCTACAATATACACAAGCTTTAGTTAGCAACTTTCAAATAAAGTGTATATAACAAATTATACTTATTGACTCTTTAAATATTGAATTCATCTATGCATATTATATTTACACAAATCTCTAATGTGCAAAAAAATACTCCATTTAATTGAATTAAGTATTGTTTTACCACTCAATATGGTTCAAATTAAGTAAGTGTCTCTAAATCAAGATAACATTATTACCTCCATTTTAATTTATTTGTGTTCCTTTCTTTTTTTAGTTTGTTTTTAAAATGATGTTTTTTTTATCTCTTTAATTTCAATTTTACACATGACATATTTTAAGACCACAAGATTAAAAGACATTTGAATAATATTCTATGTATCTTTAGTTTAACATCATAAGATTCAAAAAATTCCTTTACTTTTTAAACTCTGAATCAAATCAAAACCACACAAACATATTAAAATAGAGGAAGTAATTATTTTTGTCAACTCAACCCTTTCACCAATAAATGATCTAAAAGTCCGAGGAGAGATAAAGAGTAATTTGAGGAACAATAAGGTTAATTTATTCAAATGATCATATGGGGATGCAGTGTTGTGATATCAGATTCATCTATATCGAGTACTCTCAATGTAGATCTTAAGTCTACGCATAAATATTTACTAAATTTGTAAAAAATATAATAGATCTGAAATCATAACTTATAAAATATAATACATTTAAGGCTAAGAAGCTTATCGTTTGAATTTATATATATTTAAATTCTGCACTTATGCATGCATCTTTATTTATGATCACCAATCATTAATTTTTTTGTAATAAATGTGTTAAAAACCTTAAACAATACTTATTTTAGAACATAGAGAGTACCATAAAATGGAGGCTGACATTATAAGGGCAGATCTAGCCCTTAAGGTACATGTAGATTCAAATTATCCTTATTTTTATTTGTTAAATGGATCTTCAATCTAATTCAACCTCAAAAATTAGCAGTATCAAAAATTCAAAATAATATTTGTAAATATATTATTATGGACTACTCAAGTAAGTTAAACTATTATTTTATGTTAACTCAAGATC